GCCAGTGTGTGTATGGGGGACAGTGTGTGTATGGGGACAGTGTTTGTGTGGCAGTGTGTGTATGGGGACAGTGTTTGTGTGTGGCAGTGTGTGTATGGGGGGACAGTGCTTTGTGGGGCCGTCTTGTGTATGAGGAGCCCAGTGTTTGTGGGGCAGTGTGTGTATGGGGGCAGTGTGTGTATGGGGACAGTCGTGTTTGTGGAACGGTGTGTATGGGGGCAGTGTATGTCAGGGACAGTGTTTGTGGGACAGTGTGTGTATGGGGACAGTGTTTGTGGGGCAGTGTGTGTGTGTATGGGGGCAGTGCGTGTATTGGGACAGTGTTTGTGGGGCAGTGTGTGTATGGGGATAGTGTTTGTGGGGCAGTGTATGGGGGCAGTGCGTGTATTGGGACAGTGTTTGTGGGGCAGTGTGTGTATGGGGGGCAGTGTGTGTATGGGGGGCAGTGTGTGTTTGGGGGGCAGTGTGTGTATGGGGACAGTGTTTGTGGGGCAGTGTGTGTATGGGGACAGTGTTTGTGGGGCAGTGTGTGTATGGGGACAGTGTTTGTGGGGCAGAATATTTATTTTAAAAATGTATTATAAAAAACCTCCCCACCCCCCCCCATTACACACACTGCCCCACAAACACAATCCCCATACACACACACTGCCTCCCTGTAATGGGGCAGAGTGTGTAATGGGGGGGGGAGGGGGAGGAGGCTTTTTAATAATAATTAATAATAATTTTTAATAATTTTTTTTTAATAAAATAAATATGTCCCCCCTCCCTTCTTACCTTTATTGAGGAGGAGGGGGGACATTTCTCCGTCCCTGGTGGTCCGGTGGGGGATTCATTGGTGGTCCCAGTGTGGAGAGTGAACTCTAGCCCGCGCTCCCGCGTTAGAGTTCACTCTCGCGAGATTTGGAGCGTTGCCGTGGTAACCGCGGCAACGCTTCAAATCTCACGAGAGGAGGACCCGGAGGAGCTGCAGCCTGAGCTCCGGGTCCTCTCTCTCACTCCCTCCCTCCGCCGCCGGCTGCCAGCACGGTGCCTGCGGACCGGGGAGGGAGATCTCTGATCTTCCTCCCTGGTCCGCAGGCACATTGCAGGGCTGGCACTTGGGCAATGCCAGCCCTGCGTTAGCCGGCAGGGGGGAAACTCGGGGGGGGCAATTGCCCCGTTGCCCCCCCCCTGGATCCGCCAATGAATTACACCTAGGGCTAATGATAAGGAGCGTGAATGGGGATTTTGTAAAACTGTGATCATAGAAAAATATATACCAATAAAACAAAGATAAATCCAGTTCTATGTTTAAACCATGTGTCTTCAGTGTGAATATCCACCACAATCTCCCCACCCTCTTAGGAACCAGTATTCTATACAGACCTATGAGCTTAAAAGAGGATACATTTGTGTTATGTACCTCAATAAAGTGTTTACTAACTGAAGTTTTTTCCTACTAATCTCCAAATTATACAAATTTTCTCTAGTACATTGTTTGAGCTTTCTTTCTGTTTTGCCCACATACTGCACATTTGGTGCATGTAATCAAACGAACACCCAATTCTTTTCACAATTAATGTGAAATTTAATGTCAGAATTCTGCCAATTTATGTAAAAAAGACACTTGCATGGATGGTGCCCACACGTGAAATTACCAGTATTAATCAACAAGGTTTATTAGACTTATTTACTCCATACCTTCCTGGCCACTATCCTAACTCCTTGTTGTAAACCAGAACCAGATCCACATCTCCATCTCATCTACCTAAATTTGTATTAGTGATAGATTTAACTTGTCCATGGTGTCTACTGTAAGGATTGCTGAAAGCAATTTTCCAGCATTCATATATTGTTGTGTCTGTTTTTCAAATCCAGTGCATAGAATGGACAGCAATGTCAGAACAGTTGTGTCTCAAACTAAAGATTTGTCCTTCAGGGACTACCTTTTTGACATGAAAGAGATGACTACTTCATGCATCTAATAGTGCATTCACATCAGTTTCTGTAAACTTTGGTGTTAAAACATCCATCGTGATTCAGAATCACTCTGATGTGCAAAAATGATTATTATTATTATCGCCATTTATATAGCGCCAACAGATTCCATAGCGCTTTACAATAATATGAGAGGGGTATTTAACTATAAATAGGATAGTTACAAGAAACCTTACAGGAACAATAGGTTGAAGAGGACCCTGCTCAAACGAGCTTACAGTCTATAGGATGTGGGGTATAAAACACATTAGGACAGAAATCTCAATCAAATAAGGTGGGAGTGAAGCTGGAGGAAAAAGTAGAGTGCTGCCCTTTAGGAGAGAGCAAACGACAGGTATGTAAGGTAGAGGTTACTCTGGGAGGCCGTAAGCTTTCCTAAAGAGATTGGTTTTAAGGCACTTCTTAAATTATTGAAGACTAGGGGAGAGTCTGATTGGGGTAGGCAGGCTATTCCATAGGAAGGGAGCCACCCGTGAGAAGTCCTACAAGTGCGAGTTGGCTGTACGGGTGCGGGCAGCGGACAGGAGAAGGTCACGGGCAGAGCGGAGGGACTGAGAAGGGCATACCTAAAATAAATGCATTCTAGTGTGTATGGTGCGTGGAGTGTTCCTTTAAGGCAAATCAAGCCTTTCTCAAAACTAGCTAGCAAAGATTATTTTTATCACTACTTTCTACCACGACACAAAAAAAAAAATCTTACAAATAGCAGTAAAAATCTTAAATAGCATGCGCTCAGTAACTAGACAAAAGTAACTTTTGTTGGATCTTAACGTAAGTATTGAATTATATACCAAGGGCTATTAGGAAGAAAAAGAAGAAAAAGTCTTTGTTGCCTCAAACAATGTTACGTATAAAACATGATATCCAACTTGTTAAGACAAAGAAGAACAGTCAAGCACAAAATAGAAAGAGACCTGAATAGCAATATTTTGTTTCAAATTCTTTACTAGCGTTTTCCATTAGGGATGTTAGGTTTTCAGAAATGGAAACGACCGTCCTTATAAAAGTGGACACTTGAACCTGATTTTCCCATTTTGTGCATTGTAAGTAACACACAGGGCTAGGAATGCATTATTTAGAGAAGTACTTCAAAATAAAAAAAAAATGTAGGTTCTTGATCATCTTTAGAATAAATGTTCTGATTCACTCGGGATCACATTAGCGTAGAAGAACATTGAGTCTAACCTGCAGATAATGGCTTTCTGCTGAAGTATACCTATTCCAAGGGCTATTTCAATGGTCAATTAACCAGTGGTCTCAAAATAGCTTAGAAAGACAAAACTTTTGTAAAGGTTATGTCTCTACGGATAATTTCTGTGAAAGTGCTTTGTAAAAAAGTATTTCTGAATTTGTACTTAACTCATGGCAAATGGAAAACAGAAGTAAATGGTAATAGGCCAATAATGCAAAGTCCTGAACTAGGCTTTCAAACCATGACCACTGATCATGAGATTAAATGCAGTATGGTTCCCATCTCCATTTTTTCATATCTTTTTAAATGTGTGAAAATATATAATAAGATATAACTTGATTGAAGACTCATAAAGTTATCTTTAGACTAAGTTGGTCTCCAACCCCTACTCGTTTCGTCCTAAGTTAGGATTTCCTCAGGGGCATCCGTTAGTGTCACAATGAAAGTCCGTCTTTTTTTGGTTTAAATACCTGTTTCCCGCCGACTGTAGCCAATCGGAAATCAGAGTCAATTAAAATATCACTCACGTTCTCAATCCTGACGTCTGTGTCTTCAATCCTGGACTCGTACATTTCAAGTCTCGTTCTCAAGTAGTTTCTTGATGACGTATGTATAGTCGCTAGATGCGTACCAGCGGGTGATCCGGGAAGTTTCCATAAGTCCACCAATGAGTTAAAGTCCATAAATGTCCATAATAAGAACAACATAAAAGAAAATGAAGAGAGGCGCAAATTACCGTTCTACCGGTAGATTCTGGGATTGAAGGCGCAGGTGTCAGGATTTAGAACGCGAGTGATATTTTAATTGACTCTGATTTCTGATTGACTACGGTTTGCAGGAAATAGATATTTACACCAAAAGAAGATGGACTTTCATTATGACACTAACGGAACTCCTGAGGAAGTCCTAACTTAGGACGAAACACATAGGGCTTCGGAGACTGACTTAGTGACTTAATACCAGTAATATTGTTTGTTTTGTTTTTCAAGTTTATTTCAATTTTTTTTGTTATTCATTGGAGTACCTACTTCCTTCTTCCAGATTCCAGAGGGATTGCAATCTGCTTTTCCCGGTCCATAGGAATTGGATTGTTGATGTGCTCGTTATTTTAATCTTTCCCGTAAGTGCAATAGAAATAAAAGGAGATTTTTATCTGTCAACTGGTACACTATGTTGGTATTTTCATCCTCTTTTACATGCTTTTATGCCAAATAAGAGAACCCTTAAAGGCTACACCATCTAGCTACACCAATAGCAATATTTTGTTTCAAATTCTTTACTAGCGTTTTCCATTAGGGATGTTAGGTTTTCAGAAATGGAAACGACCGTCCTTATAAAAGTGGACACTTGAACCTGATTTTCCCATTTTGTGCATTGTAAGTAACACACAGGGCTAGGAATGCATTATTTAGAGAAGTACTTGATTGAAGACTTTATGAGTCTTCAATCAAGTTATATCTTATTGTATATTTTCTATATTAATGCTGAAGATCTGAGGAGTCTTCTGTTACATATTCATCGGCAAATAAAAATGTGGTTAATGGTATTTAATGTTCTGACAGGAAAAGTTGTGCCGGTTACAGCCAATTGGATCCACAGGAGGGGTATTTAAACCCAATTCTCCTCTTGCTCATTGCCCTGTCGTGGTTTCATGCCTATGGTTATTCGAGAGTGCATTCCTGATTAGTGATGTCGCGAACCGTTCGCAAACTTCCCGCGAACGGCTCGCCTCGGTTCGTGGTGAGCTCCGGTCAGCTGACACATCCCGGCCAATCTCCAGCAGACCCTCCCTCCCAGACCCTCCCACCTCTGACACATCCCGGCCAATCTCCAGCAGACCCTCCCTCCCAGTCCCTCCCACCTCCTGGACAGCATCCATGTTGAAGTTGCCTTCAACATGGATGCTGTCCAGGAGGTGGGAGGGTCTGGGAGGGAGGGTCTGCTGGAGATTGGCCGGGATGTGTCAGCTGACCGGAGCTCGCCACGAACGGTTCGTGGCAAACCATGGCGAGCCGTTCGCGGGAAGTTCGCGAACGGTTCGCGACATCTCTATTCCTGATCTTGATTTTCTGGTATTTGACTTTGAGTTTGTTTTGACTTCCCTGATATCTGGTATCCTTGACTTTTGGCTTTCCCTCATCTTTGTTTCTGATTCTGTGTCTCTGACCTCGGCAAGTATTTTGACTATTCTTGGAGATGTTAAGTCCGGCCATTCTAAGGTCTGGTTATACATTATCCTTAGTCCTAGGTGTGACACAGTACTGCATGCTGGATCAACTTGTAATCCTGACATCTTCATACAATCTTCCACTTAGGGCAATATTGTATCTATTCCCATAATTTTCCACTTTCTGCTGTGCACCTTGTTTTATATATATTTTATTTGTACTTTTATTTGTGTGTGTTTCAAAATAAAATGGATAATTGAGTTATAACTTTTACAGAGATTTATTTTGAAATGGTAGTACGTATTGCTATCTAGTAAATCAAACTACTCAGATTCCAATATTAATGTAGATGAAACATGCATTGTCATAAAGATTGTTTATACAGGGAGTGCAGAATTATTAGGCAAATTAGTATTTTGACCACATCATCCTCTTTATGCATGTTGTCTTACTCCAAGCTGTATAGGCTCGAAAGCCTACTACCAATTAAGCATATTAGGTGATGTGCATCTCTGTAATGAGAAGGGGTGTGGTCTAATGACATCAACACCCTATATCAGGTGTGCATAATTATTAGGCAACTTCCTTTCCTTTGGCAAAATGGGTCAAAAGAAGGACTTGACAGGCTCAGAAAAGTCAAAAATAGTGAGATATCTTGCAGAGGGATGCAGCACTCTTAAAATTGCAAAGCTTCTGAAGCGTGATCATCGAACAATCAAGCGTTTCATTCAAAATAGTCAACAGTGTCGCAAGAAGCGTGTGGAAAAACCAAGGCGCAAAATAACTGCCCATGAACTGAGAAAAGTCAAGCGTGCAGCTGCCACGATGCCACTTGCCACCAGTTTGGCCATATTTCAGAGCTGCAACATCACTGGAGTGCCCAAAAGCACAAGGTGTGCAATACTCAGAGACATGGCCAAGGTAAGAAAGGCTGAAAGACGACCACCACTGAACAAGACACACAAGCTGAAACGTCAAGACTGGGCCAAGAAATATCTCAAGACTGATTTTTCTAAGGTTTTATGGACTGATGAAATGAGAGTGAGTCTTGATGGGCCAGATGGATGGGCCCGTGGCTGGATTGGTAAAGGGCAGAGAGCTCCAGTCCGACTCAGACGCCAGCAAGGTGGAGGTGGAGTACTGGTTTGGGCTGGTATCATCAAAGATGAGCTTGTGGGGCCTTTTCGGGTTGAGGATGGAGTCAAGCTCAACTCCCAGTCCTACTGCCAGTTCCTGGAAGACACCTTCTTCAAGCAGTGGTACAGGAAGAAGTCTGCATCCTTCAAGAAAAACATGATTTTCATGCAGGACAATGCTCCATCACACGCGTCCAAGTACTCCACAGCGTGGCTGGCATGAAAGGGAATAAAAGAAGAAAATCTAATGACATGGCCTCCTTGTTCACCTGATCGAACCCCATTGAGAACCTATGGTCCATCATCAAATGTGAGATTTACAAGGAGGGAAAACAGTACACCTCTCTGAACAGTGTCTGGGAGGCTGTGGTTGCTGCTGCACGCAATGTTGATGGTGAACAGATCAAAACACTGACAGAATCCATGGATGGCAGGCTTTTGAGTGTCCTTGCAAAGAAAGGTGGCTATATTGGTCACTGATTTGTTTTTGTTTTGTTTTTGAATGTCAGAAATGTATATTTGTGAATGTTGAGATGTTATATTGGTTTCACTGGTAATAATAAATAATTGAAATGGGTATATATTTGTTTTTTGTTAAGTTGCCTAATAATTATGCACAGTAATAGTCACCTGCACACACAGATATCCCCCTAACATAGCTATAACTAAAAACAAACTAAAACTACTTCCAAAAATATTCAGCTTTGATATTAATGAGTTTTTTGGGTTCATTGAGAACATGGTTGTTGTTCAATAATAAAATTAATCCTCAAAAATACAACTTGCCTAATAATTCTGCACTCCCTGTAATGAATTCATACAAGTGTATGTTCTTGTCAAGTAGAAAGTTTCAGATTAAAAGGACACTATGGTCACCAAAACACCTTTAGCTTAATGATGCAGTTTTGATGTATTGATCATGCCACTGCTGTCCTACTGCTCAATTCTCTGCCGTTTAGTAGTCAATGTAGCCATAATTTCTAATAACTAGAAAAGCTACAATTTCTGGGGAAATTGTGTGAAGTGTTCTTGCCTCCACCAGTAGTCTACAACTGGAGTGGGCGGAGTAACTGGGTGGAGTGGCTTGAGTAAGTTGTGTGGTTGGAGTGGCTGGAGTAACTGTGGGAAGGTTGGAGTGTGATTCACTCACTCTACAGCAAGGGCAGAGAAGAGCTTTCAAATCTTTCAAATCCCTCGAACATTCCACCAACTGCCAACAGGAACTAATAGATTTCAAATAGGGCAGAGAAGAGAGGTTAAAAACAAACTGCTCCAAATAGCTCACTTCACTGGCGGTTGCCACCTTCAAACGGTCGTGTTTTAAAACCTATAAATCCTACAGCGAAGAACTTTATATTGTGAGAATCACAAGACCCAGACCTACATTTTGATGCATAGTATGTCTCGGAAATATTAAAAATGAAAGCACAGTTGCGGTTTAGATATTGCCCTTCAAATTTGAGGTGGCTAGAGTGGAGTTTCAATGAATGTCAATGGACGGCGTGAGTTGCAAACAAATGGTCATATTGTGAAAACTATCAGGACTATGGCTTAGCCGCCATCTTTAGTGGCAGCAGGGATAGCTGAACGTTTTGATATAAGGTTTGTGTAGGTGGGGTTGAAAATGAGGGAGTGGTGGAAGTTTAGAAATCATGTCCTGATTTTTCAGCTCCCACTCTAGCTTTTGTCAGCTCCCACTCTAGTTTTGAACATTTCACCATTCATGCCGATGGGACCAATTTCGCCACAAAAACAATGATATTTCATGAACCATTCGGCAAAACGTTCCACAAAGTAATAGCACACCAATCTGGAACAATCCGCACGTTTTGGTATATTACTGTCTATGTAGTGTAAAAACTGTGGGAGGAGTTAGGGTGGTTAATTTGGCTATAATAAGAATAATATACAGTTGCAAGAAAAAGTATGTGAACCCTTTGGAATGATATGGATTTCTGCACAAATTGGTCATAAAATGTGATCTGATCATCATCTAAGTCACAATAGACAATCACAGTCTGCTTAAACTAATAACACACAAAGAATTAAATGTTGCCATGTTTTTATTGAACACACCATGTAAACATTCACAGTGCAGGTGGAAAAAGCATGTGAACCCTTGGATTTAATAACTGGTTGAACCTCCTTTGGCAGCAATAACTTCAACCAAACGTTTCCTGTAGTTGCAGATCAGACGTGCACAACGGTCAGGAGTAATTATTGACCATTCCTCTTTACAGAACTGTTTCAGTTCAGCAATATTCTTGGGATATCTGGTGTGAATCGCTTTCTTGAGGTCATGCCACAGCATCTCAATCGGGTTGAGGTCAGGACTCTTTCTGGGCCACTTCAGAAGGCGTATTTTCTTTTGTTTAAGCCATTTTGTTGTTGATTTACTTCTATGCTTTGGGTCATTGTCCTGTTACAACACCTATCTTCTGTTGAGCTTCAGCTGGTAGACAGATGGCCTTAAGTTCTGCTGCAAAATGTCTTGATAAACTTGGGAATTAATTTTTACTTCGATGACAGCAATCCGTCCAGGCCCTGATGCAGCAAAGCAGCCCCAAACCATGATGCCCCCACCACCATACTTCACAGTTGGGATGAGGTTTTGATGTTGGTGTGCTGTGCCTTTTTTTCGCCACACATAGTGTTATGTGTTTCTTCCAAACAACTCAACTTTGGTTTCATCTGTCCACAGAATATTTTGCCAGTACTGCTGTGGAACATCCAGGTGCTCTTGTGCAAACTGTAAATGTGCAGCAATGTTTTGTTTGGACAACAGTGGCTTCCTCTGTGGTATCCTCCCATGAAATCCATTCTTGTTTAGTGTTTTACGTATTGTAGATTCGCTAACAGGGATGTTAGCATTTGCCAGTGACTTTTGTAAGTCTTTAGCTGACACTCTAGGATTCTTCTTCACCTCATTGAGCAGTCTGCGCTGTGCTCTTGCAGTCATCTTTACAGGACAGCCACTCCTAGGGAGAGTAGCAGCAGTGCTGAACTTTCTCCATTTATAGACAATTTGTCTTACCGTGGACTGATGAACAGCAAGGCTTTTCGAGATACTTTTATAACCCTTTCCAGCTTTATGCAAGTCAACAATTCTTAATCGTAGGTCTTCTGAGAGCTCTTTTGTGCGAGTCATCATTCACATCAGGCAATGCTTCTTGTGAAAAGCAAACCCAGAACTGGTGTGTGTGTTTTTATAGGGCAGGGCAGCTGTAACCAACACCTCCAATCTCATCTCATTGATTGGACTCCAGTTGGCTGACATCTCACTCCAATTAGCTCTTGGAGATGTCATTAGTCTAGGGGTTCACATACTTTTTCCACCTGCACTGTGAATGTTTACATGGTGTATTCAATAAAAACATGGCAACATTTCATTCTTTGTGTGTTATTAGTTTAAGCAGACTGTGATTGTCTATTCAAAACAACCAACAATAATGTACCTTATACCTTATACACATACAGCATATATGCAAAGATACTTATCGAATATAGATGAATACAGCCTTCCTCTGATCGCTCCCAGCTAGCGATCAGCTTGACAATAAAATATAGAAAAAACACAGCGAGGGAACCGGCTGTTAATCTAAATAGAAATAAATAAAGAAAGATATAGTGTAATACAGTTTACA